CCAGGGCGGTTTTAATTAAAGCAGGCTGGGGACGCTGCGTCTGGGCGGGTGGGTTCGCACCTCCAGCGTGGGATCGGGCTGGACCCCCCTGCTCTGCCTGCGGCCCCCTCCCCGGCACCCGGGGGGGTCAGCGCCCACCCTGCTTTACCTACCCTGATGGGGTTCAGGGAGCTGGTTTTAGGGGCACGAGAGTGAAGCGGTCAACCGGGACCCCTTATTACAGGGCCAATTAGTGGGGGGTCCACGGGGGGCCAAGAGAGCCCGTTCCCCTGTGTGGCCCCCCCAGATCTACCACTGCTGCTGCCCTGCTGCCAGCAGACCCAGAGGTGACTGTCAGGCCTGGAGGCATCCTGGCTCTCCAGCCCGCATCCTGCTGCTGAGCCGGGGTTTGGGGAGCATCCCAAATCCCAGAGGCTTTCAGCTCACGCTGCCGGTGCTGGTGGGACCTGGTGGCCCCTGGCTCCGTGGGGACACGTCGCCGGGGCTGCTCCCCATCCCTCCGCTCTTCTCCTTCCCCCCACGGAAAATCACGCCCATGGCCACACCAGGGTTGGGGGACAGCCAGGTCTGAGGCCATTCCCAGGAGCCTGGAACTTTTCTCCAGCAGCGCTTTGCGTGCGGGGAGCAATTATCTCTGCATCTCCATTGCTTCCTTCTTAACTTGGGGACAAACTCCATCCTTGCCTGCTTTCGCCTTCTCTGCTTAACAGGTACCTTGTACCCAAACACCATCTCCAGCGAAGATGGAGGGTGGGAGGAGGAGAAAGGGTTTGTACTGGTTCGGGAGCCCTCACAAAACAGGGGCAGAGCCACTTACCAGGTTTAACGTGTCCAGCTCTGTCATCTCAAGCTCTCCTCCATCCACAGGTCCAGTCTGGGTTGAGCAGAGGACCAGCATCTTCTCCAACACACTGCAGAAGGAAACTGCAGCAGGGGAAGATCCCACCAGCTCCAGGACCCCAGAAGCTGCTCAGCAGAGATTACCTCCCCCAAAAGGCAGAAACCAGCCGTTATCCCTGCTGCGAAGTGGCAGCTCCTGGGGTTCCAGGCATGGTGGAGCCCGGCTTTGTCCCAGGAGTGGAGCTACAAGGAGAAAGATGGCGTTTGGGAGTTTCCTTCTCCATGAGAAGGAGCTCCCAAGGCCAGATGGTGCAGCGGGGCAAGCGGGATGCTGGGGCAAAGCCCACCGCGCTTAGAGGATCGGCTGCCACCAGCTCAAAGGGAGGTGTCCACCAAACGACTGGCCGAAAGAGAGTACGCGTGGCTCAGACTTTCAGATGCAATTCGAAGCTTTATTGTGAGCTCTAAGGCATCGAGAGATGGTCTTTTTGATGTCAAGGGACTGTCACTAGTGCTGGGGACAAGCAGCAAAAGGGAGATACCCAAGAGTTAATCCCCATGAGGAGGTGATTTCCAATAACAGATCTCACGGGAGAATAAACAGCCAAAGGAAAGAAGTTAGAAACGCAGGATGCGCTTTTAACGAGGAGGCTCATTAAGTGTTGGAGCAACTCCCCTCTTCCTTCCACCCGGGAGGAAGAGCCACGAGCGTTTCCTCTAGCACATTTCGGGGCTGGCTGCGGGTTTTACTGGCGAGGAGATGCCACCACCCCGAGTGCCACCACCAGGCAGGTGTCCCGGCTCGTGGGAGAAGGTGTGTGGCTGCCTGGACCTTTCCTGTCGGGAATGAGGGAGCTGGGAGCATCCTCTGCTTTGGAAGAGGAGCTGGAGCCCAGCTGCCGTGCCTGATCTGCTGACTCATTTTAAAACCAACAATACAAGCAATTTGCCATGGGGTGATATAAGCTCCCCGGGCTTATCGCCGCCTCTGGTTCCAGTGACGAAATCACAGCGCTGGCAAACCACCTGGGGAGTAACTGAAGGGCTTAATTGAGGAAGATCGTTAGGGGAAAGACAAAGATAGGGGAGTCGGAGTCGCTTACCTACTGTGAGCAACTGGGCAGTGATCGATGGATTTGTTTATTGGGAAGCAATGGGGAAGAGGAGGAGGTGAAGAGCGGAGATCCCGCGCCCCCGAGGGGAGCAGGGTGCCCCCATCGCTTCCTCACAGAGGGTCCCTGGCTGGGTGGAGGGGTCTGGGCGTGCAGCTCCGCTCCAGAGCAAAGAGCGGTGCAGAGCTGGGGTACCTCATTTGGTGCTGGGGCCGTGCTTCTGCTCTCCTCCCTACATGCTGGGGTCTGCCAAGGCACCCGGCGGAGAAAATATCTGGTGAGGGAACCTGCTCAGCTTTGATGTTCCACCCATATCGTCCAGGAGCGGGCAGGATGCCCGAGTTTGGGATCAGGGTGGCTGGGCTGAAGGGATGGTTTGATTGCAGTATCCCCCACAAGAAAAGTGGGATCTTGCTTGTGGTCACCAGGCTGTCGGGGTGTTGGCGGACCTTCCCCCACCAAGGGGCTGTTTCACCTCAGTAATGTTAATATTAATCTGCTTATCTGCCCCGGGGCTATAAAACACTCCTATCCAAAGGGAAAAAAAAATTCCCACTGTTCTTGCTTTGTATCTGCCCTTGCTTATTGCAGGCCTTATCAGCAAAGACAGCCAGCCTTCAGGGCAAGGGAGTCACGCAATGGCTCCAGCAAACGGGACCTCTGGTCCTACACCAGCATCGGCATTGCGTTTCCCCACTGCAGCTGGACTCACCGGGCCAAGGCCATGAGAGCTTCTCCACCCCTCGGGGGTGGCATGACAAGTTGCTGCCAAGTTGCTGGCGGTCCCGGTGCTCTTCTGAGTCACCAGGTTAGGCACTGAGAGAGCCAGATCCACGTTCAGGATGATCCCACCTTCCCCTACAGCAGATGAATGCCGGCTTTGGGATGTCCCCTGCAGAAAGGTGGTTCGTGACTCTGTTGCCTTGACCTATGGCCCTTGTCATAGATAGGGGAGATGTTATTTGGCTGATGGGCCTCATAGTTTGTCCTAAACCGTCCTTCCGCTTTTCCTCCAAGGCCTCCGATAGCCTGCAGCTCAAACCATGGTTTGGACCTCCCAGTCCTTACCCTTGCTTTGCCTGCAATATTGGGATTATGATGTTGAGCCGAAGCCGGTGAGACACGGAGTGAAGCTGCTCAAGCTGGTTCAATGAATTCAGGTGGGTCTGAGGCTGTATCGTCTCAATGTTTCATCACAAGTCGATGTCCAGGCAGGACCTGGACATAAAGAGACAAAGAGTTACTCCTTTTCGTTCAGGCTTGTTTAGCGGGTCTAAACACCTCCCTGCTCTGGCTGGAATCTCCCTGAATTCTTGGGCAATCAGCTTCCCTATTTTCTTCCCTAACATGCTTTTTAATTTCTCTCTTCTTGGAAGTTTTTGTGCAATGCATGACGAGTGATTGGTATTCGGACCCGAACAGAACTCTCACTGGGCAGGGTCTGGGGCTATGGCTGAGCAGATGCCACCCATGGGAACAGATTCAAGAGCAGTGCGTGTTGCGCCGGATGGTTATACTTGTTCCTGTGTCGTTGCTTGCCAGGTACTGGGTTGGCTTAGGTGTCGTTGCGTGCAAGTTGAAGAAAAGGAGGCATCTGTTTCTACTGTCATGGGTTGACTGGCAGCCAATGTAAACGCTTGGGTTTGAGATGGAGAAAGTCCTGTTCTCCTTCTCTGCCCCGTTGTGAAAACACCCTTGCTCCAGCCCCGGCAGCTTGACTTTCTCAATAGCAAGGGGTAATGGTATCCTTCCTTGTGTTCTTCAGGGCCAGCAGTGACTACGGTGAATAAGGCTTAAGGTGGCTGAAGTCCCTCGACACACCAGTCCCTCCACGGAGGCTTCCCTCCAGCTCAGTTCATTTGGAGGATCCCTCTCATTTTTCTGAAGAAACTAATCTGAGCAGCAGGAGAACCCCTGGAGCAAGGTTGCCTGGTAGATTCTCAAAGAGGTACTAAAGTGCTTTGAGCTCCTCTACGGACAAAGACAAACCTCTCCTGAATGGGATCTTGGAGCAACATGAGAAGTCAGCCAGGCAATTAAAAACGTAGCGTAGAAACCAGGGAACAGGCTGTCCTTGGAGGACTTGGAGAAGCATTAGCATTATTCTAAGATTTCCAAGGTTTTTTTTTTCCCTGCAGACACACCTACAGTGAAGGTAAATTTCAACCAGTGAAAATTTGTCCCCTGAATAGTCCAGAAACAGTGATACTGGCTGGACCTCAATAATACCACCCTCCTCTCCATTCAAGCTTTGGGCACCGCTTCAGCCAAGATCTTAAACGTCAATGGAGGCCGCGGGAGTATGGCGTGGGTTGGCTGTCCTTCAGCCCTCAAAGAGCGACTCTAAAAGAATGCAGCCCAAAGGTACTCAGACGGTCTGGCTTTGGGTACATCCCCTTTCCTTTAGCGAAAGATGGTTTGCACAGCCCATAAATGTGCTTTGTGGTACTAAGGCTAGATGTGATGGAATGTCCAATGTTTGATGGAATGTCCAATGCTAGAAAGGCTGGAAAATGACAAACGCAAGAAACACTACAAAGTGAACAAGATAAGACAGGAGTTTCAACGGCTTCAGTTTATTATATCATCCCATAAAGTTGTACCAGACCCAGCTTCGCTACGAGGACACACAGGTCCTTGTCCCCGCAGCGGTGTGTGGGCAATGGACAAGCCCACTGTTCAGTTCATGCTCTTCATGGGGAAGCACTGCTTGACCTGGAAGTGCTCACGTCTTTTGTGCTTCAGAGACAGTCCTTCGAGCGGCGTTATGCCCGCCTTCTTCCCATTGCAGACGCTGAACTCCAGCTGCTGGAGCAAGGTGGACACGGAAAGGAAGATCTGCCACCTGGAGATGGGTTCCCAGATGCACCTCCTTTTCCCCAGGCCAAAAACCATCACCTTCTCCCCATCCACTTTGTTCACTTTGGTCCCTTCAGCACTGAGGAAACACTCCGGGCTGAAGGTCAGTGGATCCTTCCAAAGTTTCCTGGAAGGGAAAACAGCTGAGATGCTGAGATGGTGTCTCCTGGCCACGGGTGTAGGGGCGACACTGGAAGGTGGAAGCCATCAGTAAGAATATCCCTGAATTCAGTAGATCCCTCATCTGCTCTCCTTTCACTGAAAGTGGGTTGACTCCACTTCTGCCCAGAAACACAACTGTGCATGAAGGGGCCTGCGTGTTGCTGCAGGAGGCTTTCTGCCTCTGAAGGTACTTACTCATCACGATTCACTCGCCACTGGTCGACAAACACGCAGCGGTCCTTTGGGATGTAGTAGCCATTCAACACTGTGTCCCTGGTTGTGCTGGAGAGAGAAATGACTGCGAGGGTTTGGAAAGCAAAAAGGCTCTTCTGCATCCTCAGGAGGCTGTTCGTTTGCTCCCGATGCTGCTGAAGTAGGGATGCAGAGATGGCTTTATGAGGGGTAGTCGCATTGTCTGTGAGCTGGATTGGGCAACCCCTACTTCAGCTGGGTGGAGTATCCTCAGCGCAGTCAGCAGCAGGCAAGGATTGCTCTTTGGGAGCTCCCACATTGCCGTGCGCAACAGCTGTGAGCTCCCTGTTTCCATGACGAAGCCACCGTTCTACAAGTCCGAGATAACCATCTCCCTGCCTCCCACCAGCCTGCTGCCGGTGTGGCTGGAACAAGGCGCCTCAAAGTCCACCTTGTCCATCCACCTCCTTTGCAACCTCAGCACTCTCCTGTGGAGGATGGTGAAGGGCAGGAAGGCAGAGTGCCTGAACATCTCCAGGATGAAGGCTTCTGTGTAGGGCAGCCTGCCGCAGTCCGACAGCCTCAATCTCCTCTTCTGTCCAACGGTCTGGTCTGCGGGAAGTCCAGAGGGGGGGAGCGGGTTGGGGTCAGCTCTCACCAGAGAGGTCTTGGCCCCAGAGGAAGCAGGGTCATAGACTCACCTAGTTCTTCCTGGATCCTATTCTGGGTGTCAGGGTACGCCACGAGATACATGAGGCTCCAGGACAGGCCAGTTGTCACGGTGCCAAAGCCTGGTCAAAGAGGAGAGCATGTGGGTGAAATCTGTACAACATGCAGGGCACGCAGCTTGACTTGCTGCCTCACCATCACACGGAGCAGTCTTGGACAGCTAAGAAGGCAGAGGAGATCCTGGGCACAGAGTAAGACTTGGGTTTCTAACCCGTCAGAGAAAACTTTGCTGGAACGTTCTGCTCTCCTTCATCCTCATTAGCCCTCGGGTTATGTCAGGTTTGTATAACTTCTCTGGAATCGGGGGAGTTTCCACAGAGTTACTTGAAAGTGAATCAGTCAACAGACATCTTCCTTAACCAGGAAAAGCCACCCTGGCTTGTGAAGTTTGACTGAGCTATAAACCATGCACTTTGCTTTTCCCTGAAGCCCCTTTCCAGAGCTAATGTCCCATGCTGGTTTCTTGGCTTGTCCCCGGAAGGTCCAGGAACACCAACGAGCAGCAGAGCGAGTGCTCAGACCCAAAGTGGCTGCCTGTTGTTGGACAAAGATGGGTCAGACACAGCAGTAACACAAGGGGCCTGAGAAAATCTGCAGTGGCTGAGGGACCAACGGGAAAAGATACCTGCTCCAAAGAGGTCATTCACAAGGTTGACGATGTTCTCCTTAGGGATTTGCATGGCAGTATTTGCCTCCACTTTTTTCTCCAGGCACTGCTCAATGAGGGAGTTGGTGATGTCTTGGATGCTGTTCTGAGAGGAAGAGAAGACAAGTCATGGCAGCAGAACTGTCAGAGTAATGGGCGTTACTGAGCAACAACCTGATGCTGGGGGAGCCCGGGGTCGTAGGAGCTCTGGAGAACATCATCTTTCAGCCCCCATCGTCCCTACTGCTTTTACAACCTATGAAAACGAAGAGATGGTTCTCCAGGGAACCTGTGGCACAGATCAGGTGTTCAGCCAACAAGTAGCCACTAACACACAGGGCCACGGAGGAGGAGGAGGACTGCAGTACTGGGCTGTACACGGAGAGCCTGCAGTTGAGTGAGACTACAGCTGGACTTGCTAAAGTCAGCAACACCTACAAGAACGTAGATGTCCATTGATGCTTGGCTGCAAGAAGAAAAACAACTCACTAATAGAGAGGGGCAGAGAGCAGGAACACATCTCTGGTGCAGGTGAGGGTCCTGCAAGCCCTTACTTTGTCACAGGTCTTGTAGTGCTCTTTGACATTCTTCTGGAGGAACCAGAGGAATCACTTGTTGAAATCTTTAAATAAACTCATGGTGCGGCTGGGAAGGTACTGGAGCACGGGGATGAAGTCAGCAGGGTTGCCAGAGGCAGCCACGTCCCCAAAATCGTTGTTGAGGTCCACTATGTTGAGCAGCTCTTGGTTGCTGTGGTCGTAATGCTTGCCAAAGCAGATGGCGCAGATGACATTGGCCACAGAGACCACCAGGTACTGGTTCAGGTCAAAGCTCTTCTCCTGCTCCATCAGCTGCAGGAGCTTGGTGACCAGGTAGTCAGCCTCCTTGGAGACGTGCTCCTCCAGGAGGCAGGTGGAGGGGGAGGTGGGGCTGGGGGTGACGGAGAAGGCATTCAGGGCATTCTGGGCCAGCCTTCTGCGGGCTTTCCACACCTCCCCCGAGTCGGTGCCGAAGGCCAGGCTCTGGCCGTTCGAGATGTACTGGAAGCTGTAGAGGTCGGGGCGCCCTATGAAGTCTTCTCCTTGCTTCACCAGCGCTTGCTTGATGGTCTCCAGCCCGCTCAGCACCAGGACGGGCCGGGTGCCGATTCTGATCCCCATCACGTCCCCATACTTCTGGCTCGAGAAGGACCTCAGTGGCCGAGACGATGCCTTTGCTTCCCAGCAGTGACATCGCAGCCTTCATCGCTGCTGGTATGTCAGAACCCCAAAGGAGTTCACCAGAAGCATGGTGAGGAGCCAGGCTCAGCGAGAGGTTGAGATCCGCTGATGTTCCCAGTGCCGAGAAAGGGCACCAAGTGCCCTGAAACAGTTTGGGGTGATGGAGCTGCCTGTGCAGTGCTTTGGGGCTTTCAAGAGTCAAAAGCTGGAGTGAAGACTCCAAACACACTCATCACTTGAGGGGGACCTCAGCCCCGCTGAAGCCTCTGAGGGCACCCCTTCCCCTGCAGAAGACCCCAGCACCCGCTGGTACAGCCATGGCTCCTGCCCAGGGGAGACGGTCCATTTTGCAATAAGGCATGGAAAATTGCAGCTCAAAAAAGCCCAGGGAGGCAGGAGGAGGGGAACAGCAACCACTCAACGAAGCCGGCCCCGTCTCCACCAGGTCTGTGAGGATTTACCCCAGGGAGGCTGGCTCTGCTGGGTGGCTGCCAGTGCGTGGGGGGCATGGGGAGCTGGGATGCCACGGGGCATGGCTCGATGCATGGGCAGAAGACGGAGGGGAGGGCCTGGCACATGAATTTCTCCTTCAGACTCACATATGACCTTCCTGGTCCTATCACAGAACCACAGAATCATAGAATGTTCAGGGTTGGAAGGAACCTCTATGGGTCACCCAGCCCAACCCCCTGCCCAAGCAGGGTCACCCAGAGCAGGCTGCAAAGGACCGCGTCCAGGTGGGTCTGGAATAATCTCCAGAGAAGGAGACTCCACAGCCCCTCTGGGCAGCCTGTGCCAGGGCTCCGTCACCCCTAGAATGAAGAAGTTCTTCCTCATGTTCAGCTGGAACTTCCTCTGCTTCAGTTTGTGCCCGTTGCCCCTTGTCCTGTCGCTGGGCACCACTGAAAAGAGTCTGACCCC